TGTTCCTGTACTGGCGCAAGCGCGGCGCCTACGAGCTCGAGGCCCTGCCCGGCGGCCTCGCGGAGCTGCCGTGCGGCGCAGCCGAGCGCTTCTCCTGGAGCTCCCCCGGCGACGCGGCGAGCGGTAGGTCRGGGTGGCCACCGGGGCCCCAGTTCCCTCCATTCCGCGTGGGGAGCGGCGGGAGCATGGCCAGTGGCCGTATGGGAGCGCCAGGGGCAGCCGAGCGGCCGRGGCGGCTCTGGGCACGCGGGACGTGGCCTCTTCCCTGCTCCGGGAGCGGCRGCCACGTGGGCTCCGCTCACACCAGGGCCCGGGCACCGCACTGCACGAGCGGGCGCTCCCGGGCGCCGGCCGCATGGAGCCAGGTGCCCTGCATCCCGCTTCCCTGCGCGCTCCAGCACCACCACGGCTCGCTCGGGCTTTGCATGAGTTTGCAAATCTTCCCTCTTGCTCAGGCGGAAGAATTTCCACTTGTTCCCGTTATTATTTGCAGCAGGTCAAGTGAAAGGCTGGCTGCGGTGGGGTGGCCGTGCACAGAGGCTCTTTGTGCGTGCGGGAGCGCGGGCAGCGCGTGGGCAGCGCCGCGGCTCAGCACGGCGCTCGTGCCTCCTGCCCAGAGCTGGCGGCGCTGTGCCGTGCAGGGATGCACAGTCACGGCACCTGTGGGAATCACGGCACCCACGGGAATTACAGCATCCGTGGAAATCACGGTGCCTGTGGGAATCAGGGCTCCCACAGGAATTGGGACATCCRTGGGAATCGTGGCTCCCACAGGGATCACGGCACCTGTGGGACCAAGGCACCCGCGGGAATCACAGCCCGCGGAGCGGTGGGCGATGCGCGGCCCCGTCAGGCTGCATGCCCGGCACCGCGCGGGCTCCCGTCCCCCCACGCGCCCCGCGGGCCTCCCCAGCRCCCAGCAGTCTGTTATTTTTAAACTATTGAACATGGCGTGTAACAAAAGCCTCCAAAATAGGATTTGCGCCCAAGGCCGATTTAACCATTAAAGCTTAAAGCAGCTTGTCGGCCGCTGCGGGGCTGGCAGCGGGTGAGCAGCAGCGCCGCGGCCCGGGTGCGTCCTCGCTGCACGCGGTGCCACTCGCCTGCGCCCGGCGCCGCGGCTCTCTTGTCCGCGCCGCAGCCCGGCCAGGCGCTCCCGGTGCCGCCGCGGGCTCCCGGCCCTGACCGCGGCTCCCATCTCCTGCCCGTGCAGAGGAGCAGCCGCCGGTGGAGGAGAAGGGGCTGCGCTGCCCGAGCCCCACGGGTCCCGACAGCGATGCCGACCAGGACGTGAAGGTGGGTGCCTGCGCGGGTGCTGGYGCCAGGTGCTGCACCGAGCACCGACGCTTGTGGGTCTGTTTCTCTGGTCGTGCCCCAGGCGCAGGTCCGAATGAAGCGGGGAGCAGAGCGGACGTGGCGGGTCGGCTGTGGGGCTGCAGGGCGTTGAGCGGTGCCCGTGTCCGGGGGCACCTCGCGGCCCCCACGCTAATCCCRGCACTCGCTAATGTAAAGCCGCCGTGGATTTAGGCTCCCTTATCTCTGCGTTCGAGCTGCTGCCCGCGCTGCCACCTCAGCCCCGTGCTTCCCGGCGAGTGCATGAGGCCTGCGGGAGCTTCCCACTGTGCTCCGGCGCCCGCGCGGTGCAGGCCGGGTGCGATGCTGGCGCTGGCAGCGCTGCACAGGGCAGGGCAGGGCTCCTGGGCCCCACGGCGGCCCATGTTTGCCCGGGTGGAGTGGAAGCACAAACACGGCAGCAGAGCACACGTGGCGCTGGGGCACACGTGGCAGAGCACACGCAGGGCCCTGCGGTCCCGGCCGGCGGCAGTGCCGCTCCCGGCGCGGGCCGCATTCCGTGTGCCCGGTGAGCCGCTCGTCATCGTACCGCCGGGGTCCGCCGGGAGGGCGCACAATGGGCGGAAGCGGCGCGCCGGCCGCATTGTCCCGCAGCCGAAGCCGCTTCCTCCGGGGGCGGTGGCCGGGCCCCTGCGCGACCGCGACGCCGCAGCCCTTGGCGCCCGGCCAGCGCTGCTGTTCCCGCAGGAATGCCGGGACGCCGAGCGCCCGCCTGAGCCCGGCGGCGCCATGCACTGCGACGGGCCCCCRCGCCTGGAGCTGCCCCTGCCAGGTGAGCGCCGCCTGCGCCGGGACGCCGGTGCCCCCGGCCCCACATGACACCTGCCCCGCTCCCCTGCAGGCCCCGTACTGGCCCGCAACATGTCCACCCGCTCCTGCCCGCCGCGCACCGGCCCGGCTCCTGGCCACGACGAGGACACCGACAGCGCGGGGTGAGCACCGGCACCAGCACCGGCCCCCGCTCGGCCGGGTGCAGGGCCAAGGTGACGGTGCCTGCTCCCCCGCAGGGACGGCCGGAGCTCCGYGCTGAAGCTGCCTAAGAGGAAGGCTCGCCGCAGGCACACGGACGTAAGCTGCTGCCCACCGTGCTGCCCAGCCGCGCCGTGCCGGGCTGCAGCTGCTGCTCTTCCCGCAGGATCCCAGCCAGGAGTGCTTCACCCTGCGCTTTGACCTCGGTGCCGAAGCTGAGACCGAGATCGTGCTGGCCACCAAGAAGAAGTCGCTGGGGTGAGTGTGTGTGTGCACACTGGTGCGGCCGGGGGCTGCGGAGCTGCCGGCGCGCGCCCGGGCGCAGCGGCTCCCCGAGGCTCCAGGCCGGCGGCTCCACAGGGAGGTGCTGCTGCCGGTGCTGGAGCGCCGGGGCCTGGAGCCGAGCCGCGTGGACATCTACCTGGAGCAGTCGAACACGCCGCTGCCGCTGCACTTCGAGGCGTTCCGCCTCGGGGGACACCAGCTGCACGTGCGAGGTGCGGGGCGCGCGGCTGTGCGTGGGGATGGTGCCGGCACCGGCACCGCTCACACCGCTCCGCTCCCACCGCAGCCAAGCCCGGCGCTGAGCTTCAGGYGGACACGGCGGCCAAGGACGCGCGCTCGGCCAGCCTGCCCATCCTGTGTGCCCCCGAGGTGCCGGTGAGTGGTGTGGCACACACAGGGCTGGGCTTGGTGCCTGCCTGGCGCACGGCGGGCACCGGGATGCAGCTCTGCACGCAGTGCRCATGGGGATGCTCCACTGCGTTCCCGTGCAGAGCTGAGCCTGCCGTGCTACAGGGAACGGTGCTGTGGTCTGCCTGCCACACTGGGAGCCCAGCACTCTGCCCCGTGTGCTCTGCACAGGCCCCGGGCCGGCGCCGCAAGAACATGACCGAGTTCCTGGGTGACGCCAGCATCCCCGAGCCCCTGCCACTCAGCAGCAGCTCTGCTGCTGCGGCTGTCGCCGGCGGGGACACGTGGAAGAACCGGGCAGCGAGCCGCTTCAGCGGCCTCTTTGGCTCCGGCGCGGGCACCTTGGCACGGGTAGGTGCACCAGGAACGGGAGCACGCAGGTAGGTGCGCGCAGGTAGGTGCGAGCCGGTGGCGGTGCCCGCGGGCCTGGCAGCCCCTCGCCCCGTGCAGCCGTGCCGCTCGCCTCGCAGGAGGGCGACAAGCTGGAGCAGCTGGCCAGCAAGCTGCACGCGTACAGCGTGTTCGGGCTGCCGCGGCTGCCGCAGCAGCTCCGCTTCCACCGCGACTCCTGGGAGGAGGACGAGGACGAGGAGGGGGGCGATGACGCCAGCCTGGCCCTGGAGGACAGCTGGCAGGACATCATCGCGGGCGCCGAGGTGAGGCGGCCCGGCCCGCAGCGCCGGTGCCCATGTGCGGAGCACGGTCCGCAGCAYTAACCCCGGCCGGCGCCGCAGGCCCTGCCGCGGCGGCAGTGCCACCAGCAGGAGGCCATCTGGGAGCTGCTGCACACCGAGGCCACCTACATCCGCAAGCTCAGGGTCATCACGGACGTGAGTGGCGGCGCGCGCTGCGGACGAGCGGGGCTGCGGGCGCTGCTGCAACGCGTCCGTGCTCTCCCGCAGCTCTTCCTGCGCGGCCTGCTCAACCTGCAGGAGTCGGGGTTGCTCTGCGAGGTGAGCGTCRCGGTCCCCACTGTCGGCGTGTCCATCGCGCACAGCTCCCGAGCCGGCCCTCGCCCGCAGGTGGACACCACRCGGCTCTTCAGCAACGTCGGCGAGATCATCCGGCTGCACCGCGCGCTCTGGAGCGGCGTCATGGCCCCGGTGCTGGAGAAGGCGCGTCGCACCCGCGCGCCTCTGGACCCTGTCGACTTCCTCGAGGGCTTCCGCGCGGTAAGCGCGGGCCGGGCAGCGCGGGGCGGCGCGGGGCGGCCCATGCTTACGTGGCGCCGCCGCAGTTCGGCTCGCTCTTCCAGCCCTACGTGCGCTACTGCATGGAGGAGGAGGGCTGCATGGAGTACATGCGGGCGCTGCTGCGCGACAGCGAGCTCTTCCGCGCCTATGTGGAGGTAAGGGCGCACGGAGGCACCGCGGCGGGGCTGGCGCCGCGCGGGCGCTGACGCCGCTGCCGTGCACAGTGGGCGGAGAAGCACCAGCAGTGCGGGCGGCTGAAGCTCAGCGACATGCTGGTGAAGCCCCATCAGCGCCTCACCAAGTACCCGCTGCTGCTCAAGTCGGTGCTCAAGAAGACGGAGGAGCCGCGGAGCCGCGAGGCCATTGTGGCCATGGTGAGGAGGGGGCAGGCGCGCGGGCGGGCGGGTGGCCCCGTGCCGGCGCTCACACGCGCCGCCCGCCCAGATCGCCTCCGTGGAGCGTTTCATCAGCCACGTCAACTCGCGCATGCGGCAGCGGCAGGAGCGCCAGCGCCTGGCCGCCGTGGCCGCCCGCATCGGCGCCTACGAGGCCGTGGAGGGCGGCAGCGACGAGGTGGACAAGGTAGGCTGGGCGGCTCCACGGGTGCACCGTACCGCACTGTGCCGTGCCGCGCCAACAGCGCCCTGCCCGCAGCTGCTCCGGGAGTTCCTGCGCCTCGACCTGGCTGCGCCCATCCCCGGCGCCTCCCCGCACGACACGCGGCAGCTGCTGCTCGAGGGCGGCCTGCGCATGAGGGAGGGCAGGGATGCCAAGGTGAGCGGGGCCGCGTGTCCCAGCACGGCCCGCAGCCCCGCAGCACAGCCCTGCACCACGGCCTGTGCCCACCGCCCGCCTCTCGCCCCAGGTGGACGTGCACTGCTTCCTCTTCACTGACCTCTTCCTCATCACCAAGCCCGCCAAGAAGGCCGAGCGGGCGCGGGTGGTGCGGCCGCCCCTGCTGCTGGACAAGGTGGCGTGCCGGGAGCTCAAGGAYGCGGGTGAGCGGCAGCGCCACAGCGGGGACGGGCCGCGCGGCTGCCCGCGCTCACGGCGCTGCTGCCCACAGGCTCCTTCCTGCTTGTGCACCTCAACGAGCTGGGCAGCGCTGTGGGCGCCTACAGCTTCCAGGCCGGGGGCCCGGTGCCGTGCCGCGGCTGGATGGAGGCRCTGCTCCGCGCCCAGGTGAGGCTGCGGCCAGGGGACCATCCCATCCCGGCCCATCCGCAGCACTGACCCCTCCTGCGCTGCAGGCCCTGCTGCAGCGGCTGCGGCTGCAGGAGCAGCAGCGCAGCCGGCGCCGGCGCCCGCGGCAGCCGCAGCATGAGGACGACGAGGAGGATGAGGAGGATGAGGACACGGCGGGAGGCAGCAGCACCTCGGCGGGCAGCTCACCCACACTACTCCGCAAGAGCACCAGCAGCCTGGACTCGCAGCAAGGGTACGGCTGGGCGCAGGGGTCGCGGCAGCGTCAGCACGGGGCCGGGCTTTGCCAACCCATGCACGTCCTGCCACGGGCGCCTCCGCAGCCCCTCGGACGGCTCCACTGAGACCATTGCGGTGGTGGTTGTGGACGGCGCCGCCGAGCTCTCCTCGCCCGACACCGACGTGGCACCGTTCAGCTCGCCCTCGGACGGGACCTCGCTGAGCACCACGGCGTCGTGCGGCACGCCGCCCGCTGACCCGCCGCCCGGCGCGCGCTCCGCCTCACTCGACAGCGCCTACGGCACGCTCTCGCCGCCCGAGCCGCCGCCGCCGCCCG